CAGAGCTAATCTACCCGATGTTGATGGAATTAATTACAACGAAAAAAAACCACATGTTTATTTAGCGTATTTCGATTGTGTTAATCTTTATGGCAAATCAATGCTTGCAAGTTTACCATACAAACATTTTGAGTGGTATAATAATTTGACATTAGACGTTACTACAATAGACGATGATGCATCTATTGGATATATAATGGATGTGGATGTTGTTACCCCAAACAATTACATACCAAGCATAGGGATTTACCTTTTTTACCCCACAATAGTTGCCCACCAAATTCTAAGATTCATAAACTGCTGACAACTTTAAATAATAAGACAAATTATGTCGTTCACTATAGATTATTAAAGCAGGCGATTCATAATGGTTTAAAAGTTGTAAAAGTTCATAAAATAATTAAGTTTAATCAATCAAAATGGTTAGCCACCTATGTTAATAAATGTACCAGTGTGAGGGTCTTGGCAAAAAACATGTTGGAATATGAATTTTGGAAATTACTCCTGAATAGTGTTTATGGAAAATGTATGGAAAATCCGCGTAAAAGATTGAATATTAGTTATTATGAAAAATTAATAAATACACATTTTCACCTGGTGCACCATAGTCTGTTCGCAATCAATAAAAACAAAAAGCGCTAACTAGTGGTCAATGAAAAGTTGTGGATAAACGTTTTAAAATCTCCCTGTAAATGTAAAAACTGGGATAGTAAGCGCCTACAATTCTGGATGATCAAGGGGGAAAGTCATAGATAACCGTTTTGAAATCTCCCTGTAAATGAAAAAACTGGGATAGAACCTACATATACTACCTACTTTTGAGTACCATTTAAATATATTTTTTAATCAAACATTATAATCTGTATTTTTTTAAATGTTATAATTTTTAATTAAACTTGTAATTTATAAGACTAAACTTTAARAATTCTGGATGTTTTGGATTTATAAATTGGATTATATACAGGGTGATTCTTTTATCAAACAACACTTATATTATGTTTGTGTGTAAATACCACCTAACATACACTTATAACACACAAACACCACCCAAAACCACCCAACTTTGGGAGGCTATATCTTGTAAACGGATTGACGAAAAATGAAAATTTAAACGTGAAAATTCATTGAAAAAATTGCCTTTTTAGTTTATCAAATTTTAAGTATAGGTTGTCATTTGAAAATCAAAAGTTGATAATGGTTAACCTGATAAATATAAGGGTGAAA